AAAAAAAAAAAAAAAGAGAGAGAAAACCTTTCTTATTCATCAATAGAAATATGTATGAAAACAAGTTAATATTTTGATTAGAGACATTGTAAATTTAGCAAATTAATATCATCCTCAAGCTATATTTAAGAGAGTTAAGAAGAAATATTAAAAGCATGAGTTATATATTTTTAATGCACATTTATAAAATAAAAGTAAAATAAACTAACTTGATAAATGTACAGAGTTCCTTTTAATTTGAAAAAAAAACAAATTTTACTTAATTTCCAATAAAACTTTGCATATTTTTCAATAATTGTTTTTGCTGAATTCAAAAACGTTTGCTATACCATTGTTTAAAGTCCTAATGGTATCAAATATTTTCTGTTTTCCACATGTTCATTTAAAGTTACTCCCACTAATAAAAGCTGATAAAAAGCTAAGATTAATTGGGGCCTAAAATTTTTATTTGCATTTCTTTACAGACTTTAAAGCAAAACACATTTTTTTAAAGAATTTAAAACAATGGTAGAAGCACATAGTGTTTTAAAATGTGCCTTACAAAGCTAACCATTATGAAGTGTTTCAACCATTTTTATCATTCTTAGAAAACAGTCACACTTAGCTTTAAAGAGAACATGTGTATATGTTCTTAGAATACCACCCATATTGGTGTAAATTTAAAATATCAATGAAAGTAAATAACTATATAAATACATATTGATTCACTTTCAAAATAAATGTTCTGTTAATGCAAGACAAGATATAAACAATCTATGCAGATACCAGTCTGAATGATCTCAGTACAGACAATCCCTCCACATTTGACAGGCCAAGCTCCATCAAACTGAGACTGACAATAATTCCATCAAAGATATTCCAACCCTCTTGGAAATAATAGTAGGGATCCATGGCAATGATCTTGAGAACCATTTCCGCTGTGAAGATCCCAGTGAAGACCTAAAGTGAAAAATTGATAGAAGTTTAGCATTTTGTTTCAGGGGAGTATTTTAAGTAAATTTGTTTTATTTAATGAATCTGATAGATTTCCAGGAAAATGCTGATTTTNTCTAAATCCGCTCTATAATTTTAGAGCACGGTGATTTTTGCTTTTATTTCTAAAACCAGTGTACTTTTAATCTTTGTGTGAGCATATATGAGAACTGCCCTATTATTTTTTCAGAACTTTTTATGTACTAATTTTAAAAATCATCAATATAAAACTTATTGAATTTAATTTTATTGCACAAAATAACTTGAAATTTTATCCTAACTTTATACAAGTATTTAATTTTATATTTACTTTGATTTACTTTTCCCACTAGTATAGTTGTACATTTTAAACAATTTCAGTGCATTCTGTAATTAGAATCCGTATATCCAAAATTAGCTTGGAAGGAGATGGAATGCTTATTTAAAAAAGACATCCAATAAGGATTTTTTTTTCAGGTAATAAAATGTTTTCTAGGACTTGATAATGATGATATTGTATCTCATTATTCAAATTTATGATTTTTTAGCCATTAAAAAGACATGACAACAAGGTAATATTCTTCTAAGTAATCATTTGAAATATCTATGGACATTATAGAGTGTCTGAAGTATTCTGGAAACCAGCTGTTTGAAGATATTTAATTTCCATGATCCAATGTGGTAAAACTATGATATCAATATAGCAAAAGTTTACATCTTTGGCTTTTCTACCTCTTCTTGATCCCAAGCTAGTCTTGTTCATAGTTGTCCCTATTTTCTCTTTAAAATTACTTTTTTGATGAGCTCCTCTATGTTGAGGGACTCAGATAATTATGAAATCTGCATTATTAAAGCAATTTTTAAACCCTGATGTCTCACCCAGGCACTGGTTCCCAACACTGTCCTTTCTACTTCAGTGTATCCCAGTGGAATTCCTCCTCTGCCCACATAAGCCTGGTAACCTTTCTAAAAAGGCCATTTCAGCAGTGGCATTACCCTTTTTCCAATTTCCCAGATTCTTCACTAGGTTTATCAAGTTGACAATTAGTCTCAGTTTGCACACTTAGTACCCTAGTCCCTAATTTCACCTCATTGCTATGAAATAATCGTTAACCACATTCCCCAAGAAAACCCCCTTATCCCTCACTCCAAACTGTTTTACTCATTGATATCAAATACATTTTCCTAAAACATCACTTTTTATTGCCTTTCCCCTGCTTCAGAACAGACAAATTGTTCCTTATTGTCTATACAGCCAATTCAAACCTCTTTGACTTACTTCAAAGACTATACAATCTGAAGCTAGCTAACTCATCTAAACAGAATTTTCCACTATCTTTTCAACCAGTGCTTTATTCATGCTGATGTTTCACTGCCTCGCCTTAACCCTAAGCTCACTCTTAACTTTGTCTTTTGTTTAGTAGGTTTCTGCTTTTTACTTTCTGTTCATATATTTGACCCAGACTTTGAGGTCTGTTATAATTTTATCTCTTCCATTTACCAATTTGCTGTGTTCCTGCTGTTCTCAATACCTATAACCTTACATTCAGTCCTGTAGGATTAAAGTTTTTAGTACGTCCCCAATGATTTTGTGAGTTAGCGTTAACTTCTTCAAAGATGTTGAGACTTCCCTGAAGGGGGTGAAGTTATAGAGTGCCCCTTTAACTCCTCCTTTCGCTTAGTGTTCTGATGAATTCACAAAAAGTGCTCAATGAATGTTTGTTAATTAATTGGTGTTTCTACTTAAATAAATCTATATCATCAGGTGATGGAAAATAAAATTAGAATTCTTATTTTACCAGAAAGAGCAGCGTACAGATTATAATTGAACTCACTAAGCAGACTTTGAGTGGCATTAAGAGAAAAAACCTTATACCTCACTTTGAAATATTTTTCAAAGTATTTTTACATTTACTATTATATCTCAGTAGCTCTGAAATGCCTGCAAAAAAGGATCAGGAAGCTATGAGCTGTGACATTGTCAACTACTTGTTACTTACATAAATTCTGTACATACTGTTATTTAAAAAGCATTCCAAAATATGCTCACAAAATCAGACATCATTAGTCTGATTCCTATGGTGTCACTATTACACCCTGAAACTAAAACATTATTTTATAACTCCATGCTAGATTTACTTCCTATTGCTATATTAGAAAACCATAAATAGTAATAGTAAAAAATTTAATCCTGTTCTTCACAATGTAGAATTGCAGAATTAATATCAGTAAGCTTCTATTATGGGATCCTATGAATTCTAATCATACAGTAGCAATAATGTCCTTCTTATCTTTTAAACAACTAGTAATATGACAGTAACAGAGCTTTTCAGTCTATGGTTTAACTATAATCCTCAAGTGGAGCTTTTCTAAGTAGTTCTTAGTATTTTCAAGTTCATCTGGAAGACCTTATAGATTTGTTCATCCTTGACTGGGCAAAATATAATCAGTGCTACTTGAACTTTCCTAATATGTGGAACACTTTCATAAATGAATAACACTCTGTTGTAGTCAATAAAACTTTCAGAGGTGAACAAAAACTACACAAAACTTTCATATTAAAACAAATCATAGCAAAACCTAATATAGAAAGTAAGGAGGTGACACTTAACACAATGATCAGTAAAATATGGTTCATTAATTTTTTAAAGAGCATAAGGTAGTGTAGAATGGAATGTATTAAATAACATCTCTTTTTTGGAAGGGCATAATTTTTGTTTTTAGACTTTCAAACTATCAAGATGAATATACTAATTATTCAGAATGATGGTTTCCAGTGGAAAGTTGGAATTTCTATGAATGAATTTCTCAGTAAAGAATATCTCATACTTTTCTAACATTACCATATATATGACTTTCAATATACTTTTAAACAATATAAACACGATAAAATTCTCAATAACCATATTGCATGATTATTACAGGAAATACAACAAAAAGTTAGAAACATTCTTACCTCCTTGCTTTCTTCTAGTTCTGACTCACTGCTGAACTCTTCAGTATTTAAGTTTTCAAAATCAGACTCTCCAACAGCAATTGGCACTGTTACAGTGAGACTTGGGTTGTTTATGAATGACATATAATCATTTTCATCAATTACATATTTTTCAACACTGCTTCCAGTACCTACACCACTGGTGGTTCCATTTCCATCTTTAAGATAATTTAGCTCTTTGCTTATTTCAATTCCAGTATTATTAGACATGCAGCTGTCTATTTTTGTGCCCTCTTGGATTTCTGTAACTTTTGGCTTTCTCAAAAAGGTTTTTCGGAAACACTCCCGTATCTTATTTTTCACATAATCAATTCCCTTTTGCATCCTTCCTATTGCAATCTGGAGATTGTTCATTTCATTATCATCATCAGTAGCAGCAAGATTGTCTGAGCTAAATGAACTCAACAGTAAGGCCAGAAAGAGGTTCAGAACCTAAATGAAAAAAAGAAAATTTGCTACATTAATATTGAAGTATACATAAATACAATAGCTTCAACAGGAAGCGTATAGATCTTTGCCAAAATTAATTCATCAAATGCTTCTTGAATGCTTACTATATTTAAGATACCATGTCTTAATTACACAGTATTTATAGGACCTGATATCTTCTACCTGCTATAAGGATGGAATGGTAAAATAAGTGCCTTCTGTTTCCTACTGAAAACAATGGGAAACCAGGGTTTCTAAGATCTAAATTATATCTACTCAGGGTTTCCAGTGAGAGACAAAGTGCTATTTTTAAGGTTTTGGCCAGTGGAAAAAAAAATAGATATTTTCATTTTAGTTGTTTTACTTCATTGTACCAGTTTGTCTAGAGAATGTCTAGCTTTGAATGTAAATAATTTATTTATTTAATAGCCTAGTGATATGCATTAAAGCAATATACTTGAAATATAAATTCCATTGGTCCAATGGTCACAAACTCCTATAACAGCAGAAATTTCTAAATGCAAATTATATAACACATTTCCCACCAACATGCATTGAAATTTGTGTGTCCAAATAGTTTAACAGATGGAGAAAAATCTAAAATTATTCCAAGGATAGGCTAGACCCACATAATGTAAATTAGTTTTCTCTTTCTTTTTTTTGTGGAGGAAATATGAGTAAATCTTAAATCTCAAAGTGTCATTGGGATACAGGGGGGAAATTGCCCAATTAACTGATAAAATATGACTAATACAGAAATAATTAAATATAACTGATGCAAAATGAAATTTATTTATAGGACTATTTTTAGCTTGACGTGTAGTTACTGAGTTTCAAAAACCATTACATGGTAGGAAGACACGTATAATTCTAAGAATTATACCTTATTTCTTATACAATAAATAAGAATTGTTTCCTTATTTCTATGTCAGATTTGGTTCAGAATCTAGAGCTTCCTAATTTACTATTCTGAAAAATATTGCCTGTCCACTGGTATCCCCCAAAATTTTTCTTAAGCAATCTCACTTGAAATGTACCTCTCAAAGGAAAAGTCTGGTATCATAGCAAAAAGGAATGCTTTGTACATGATTGAGAAATTTTAAACATTTAAATACAAATATACAAATTGTGCTTTTACATTGGTGCTGTTAAGTCAGAGCTAAAAGTAACTCTTTTAAAACTGGTCAATATCCATACATATGACTAACTTAAACTGTAATAATTTATTTTCCTTTAAGAAAGAAAATTCAGGGAAGAATATATTTAGTCATTTTCCAAGTCATTTAGATAATTTCAATATATAGCTAAATTGTAATGCTCTATTTCATCAAAATTTGATAATATTCAACTTAAGCCTTTGAGTAAGTGAACAGTATGGATTATGAATGTAAAAAGAGCAATTCAATATAGAATAGATTGTTGTATTTTTAGGTTTACTGGAGATCATTATCTCATAAAAATAATATTGGGATAAAAATGATTTAGGCTAAATATTAGAATAAAGTTAGTCTTGATGATAAAAAACATTTCTTCGAATAAAAAAAGCAAAACAAACTCAGTAATGTTTTTGCCCCTAAATTTTCAGATAGACCTCATTTCATCCTCACATCAACCATACAATTTCAGTTTTGTTATTTCAGTTTCATAGTATGGAAACTTGAGCCTCAGAAAGGTTAAGTAACTTGCCCATGCACAGAGCGCTAGTACTGGGATTTGATTCTGTATTACTGATGGTAAACTAGAGATACATCTTCTGTGTCAGGCTACCTTCCTAGTACTGTGTGAACTTGATCTTAATTATGAGCATTTTTAATACATACGTACCACCAGGTTTCCAATGACCATGACCAACATGAAAACAATAAGGCACATGGTTTGACCAGCAACCTCCATGCAGTCCCACATGGTCTCTATCCACTCTCCACACAGCACCCGGAACACGATCAGGAAGGAGTGGAAGAAGTCATTCATGTGCCAACGTGGAAGTTGACAGTCACTGGAGATCTTGCAGACACATTCTTTGTAGCTCTTACCAAACAGCTGCATGCCGACCACAGCAAAAATGAAGACGATGATGGCCAACACCAAGGTGAGGTTACCCAGGGCCCCCACTGAATTGCCAATGATCTTAATCAGCATGTTCAGGGTAGGCCAGGATTTTGCCAACTTGAAAACTCGAAGCTGTAATCAAGTGAAAAGATACTTTTAGTAGTAGTCTCAATATAATTTGGGAAGTAAGTTAGACATTGTTTTATTAATATGCCATATTGTAGACCTGCCTCTGAGGGGTATAAAATCTCAAACCATACTAAACAATTCAAATCCAGAAAAAAAGTGTTAATATTACTAGAACTGTAAATCAAATCATAATATCATTTAAATGCAAAAAATTGAAAAGATAAAATATTTTAGGGGTGATGAATAAAACCTTTCTGAGGGCTGGCCAAGTGGCTCAGTTGGTTAAGAGCTCACTCAAGAGTTTGAACTCTGAGCAACAGTGGTTCGAGTCTCAGCCCGAGCTGAGCAGCTGCTGAGCTGCCAACAGGTG